TTTGAAAACTATGTCTCAGTGCTTGTCGTTAATTTATCCAATATATCGATAACTGATACTATAAAACTGTTCATGTGTATGACAATCAAATACTAACGAAATAACAAGAAATTTTTTTCTTGGTTAACCAGAACATGAAAAATAGACCGATTTGTTGTTCATGGTATCGATTTGTTTCTTATCAAAGAAAAACTGTTGTTGATACCACACTGAGTTTATATCCCTATCGACCACTGCGACTCCATTCGACACGCTGCTATTGATATTTCAATTAGTCGTATTCATTTAGTCTGACTTACTTTCGATCTTATCAATAAATGTTGACACGAGTGCCGAAATGTTGAACAGTTTGAAGATACGAACAGTCACAAGAGAAATTCAATAATTTGATTTAAGCTATTATCCCAGAGATTCTATGTTTGGCTTGTATTGTTTGTAGTTCAATAATCGATCTCAACATACGGCACATTAGAAAATGAACGTCGACATGATTTTTTCTCCACTCATAATGTACCAATATTTTATGTCTTTGCTATTCTACTCTGCTCTTTTACTATTTGATTGCTCCAATCTGCATCGCATAAAGTGTGGATATTGAAATGAAAACATGTACGGGTCAACATTCGAGTAGTACATAAGGGTCAAAACACAAAGATCACTGGTAGTTTCACTCGGTTTTGTGATTTCTTTTTAACATCGTGTGCATGAAAAAGACGAATATAGATTAGATTGAGCTGAAGATAAATATTGAGCAAAGTTCTCAGGATCTTTTCTAATAACTCAGCTTGGAACCGATGGTTTGAAACAAATGTTCTTATTTTAATTCTATTAACTAAAAGAATGTGTTCGACTAGCCAGTTCTATATTGTTAGTACAGTACAAAAACTGTTACGTTTGATTATACAATTTCACCAAAACAATTATCTGTACTAAATAAAGATTGATTATTTACCTTCTTCGGATGGAAAAATTTAAATTAAATTGACTTATTCAAGCCCGATTACACCAGAATAACGGTACAGAACGCACCTTGAGATACAAAGACTTGGCTAAGACAGAGTTATAAGCCAAATCAAATCTGAAGATAATTTCCATTCCTATCAACAACAGTTTCTCTACTCATAGAAAATGCAATGAAATAAAATTCCCAGGATTTAGTAATCGAGAATACGTGAATTTCTTCACCATTTAAAATACTGATGAGTTTTTCTCCATACTGCACATTTTCGTAAAGATGATTTTGGCTTTAAATAAGAGAACGTGAAATTAGATTCTATGCAATAAGTATTTGGTGTAGTTCATCTTGTGTAGTATGATTGAAAATACTAAAAGTAGTCGAAAATTGTCTAAATACGCGAAAAGCGCAAGAAAACAACTATGTTTTGGGAAAAGTAGAATTTCAGCTCATTTTCAACACTTTACATCGGATACCAGCAAAACGAACGAAAAACATTCGACGAACTTATTATTGATGCGTTCGTTCATTATTTATAACAAAGAAATATTCGATTTCATTTTAAAAATATACAAAAAAGGTATTTTATTATTTTCTTGCTGGATCGTATAAAAGGCCTAAAACACAAAAATAAAAAATATAGTTTTGAACCAACCACGTATTATAGAATTACCTGCTATACACGCTCCCATGAGTGAGACCATATTTGCTGCAATTAATGTTCTCAACGCTATTTTTGTGAATGTTCCTTTACGATCTAGTGCCATTGTACTGAGCAAAGCTAGTATTTGGCCCACTGAACCAAAATTAGCAAAACCAGATATACTATAGGTTAAGATAACAAATGATCTGTCCTAAAAAGATTAAACAAAAAAAAGAAGCCGTTTTAAATGAAAAACTTAACAGAAATAATAAGTCGAGTGTAAAATTTTGAACATTTCTATATTTTCAAGTCAAAGAAAGGATTTTTGTAGAGGAGAAGAGTAAAAAATAGAAACTTACATTCCATAACATAGGTGTTGTTCCATTCCATTTCAATGTACCATTTCTATATAGATCGAAAGTACCATTGTTTTGTAATTGTTCACGAAGACCTTTTATGGCTGCTAATTTTGTGTAGGCAATAAACTTGATTAAGGAAAAAAAGATTTCAACTAAAATATTAGCCGATCATCCTCCCTAACCAAAGTACTCATACTATGAGTATGACTTTACTCATAATTTGTCCATGAGTGGCCATGAGTTCTACTAACAATTTTTGAGCATTTTCAGTGAGTACTCATATTCAATATGAAAATATTCACTCACGAGGGAACCACCCCAGGTCCCCAACTCCGATTTCCTTCATTCATACCTCGTTTTATAGAGCACATCGAGCTGGTATAAAGCCTAAAAGGATTTTTGCCCATGGCTCTTGAAGTCTCGGTTTTCTGCAAAACCAGTTTTTGAGAAATTCTAAAAAATAATCAAAACCTTTCATAATGAGACATAATTATAGCTTGCACATTTCTGATTAAAATGAGACGTCTCTCAGCTCTACACGACCTTTCTTTACAAAGTTGCAGAATTTACAAGAAAAGCCCTAAATGTTCATTGTCAGCTCAAAGCTGTAGAAATAAGAAATTAATTAGGACTTTTCTTGTAAATTCTATAATTTTACAACGAAAGATCATGTAGATCTGGAAGACGTCTCATTTTAATCAGAAATGCGCGAGCTATAATTATGCCTCAATATGAAAGGTTTTGATTATTTTTTAGAATTTCTCAAAAACTGGTTTTGCAGAAAACCGAGACTTCAAGAGCCATGGGCAAAACTCCTTTTAGGCTTTTTACCAGCTCGATGTGCTCTATAAAACGAGGTATGAATGAAGGAAATCGGAGTTGGGCACCTGAGGTGGTTCCCTTTTCAGCGTTGTAT